ATGAGTTTCCAAGGCTATGGAAGCCCCCTGAGTTCACTGACTCTGATCATATTTAGACAAGGCCATGGTCAAAGTGGAAGTTCTCTCCTCCCTTCAGAGAAAGGTACCTCCTTCTTTGATGACCCGTTCTTTCCACTGGGATCTCACTCGCAGAGATCTTTCATTTAGGTTTTTTTTTTTCCCCTAGAGTGTCTTGGCTTTCCATACCTGAAATACTCTCATGGGCATTTCAGCCGGATCCCCATGCCTTAAGGGCTGATTCTGAGGCCAGAGTGTTGTTTAGGACATCTGCCATTCTATGGGTCTGCTGTGTATCTCACTTCCCATGTTGGATCATTCTCTCCCTTTTTGATTCTATCAGCTAGTATTTGCAGACACTATTCTTGTTTATGTGATCCCTTTGGTTCTTAGTCCTATCATTACGATCAATTGTGAACAGAAATTGATCACTGGGACTAGTGAGATGGCATTGGTACATGCCACCTTGATGGGATTGAATTGTAATCCCCTGGTATGTTTCTAACTCTACCGTTTGAGGTAAGTCAGATTGAACATGTCCCGAATTGCACATCTCTTCCCTCTTTTATTCCCACTCCACAAGATCAAAACAAACAACCCACTTAACAGATGGGCCAAGGACCTCAATAGATATTTTTCAAAAGAGGAAATCCAAATGGCCAACAGACACATGAAAAAATGTTCAAGATCACTAGCAATCAGGGAAATGCAAATCAAAACCACAATGAGGTTCCACCTCACCCCAGTTAGAATGGCTCACATTCAGAAATCTACCAACAATAGATGCTGGAGAGGATGTGGGGAAAAAGGGACACTAACCCACTGTTGGTGGGAATGCAAACTGGTTAAGCCACTCTGGAAGTCAGTCTGGAGATTCCTCAGAAACCTGAATATAACCCTACCATTCAACTCAGCCATCCCACTCCTTGGAATTTACCCAAAGGAAATTAAATTGGCAAACAAAAAAGCTGTCTGCACATTAATGTTTATTGCAGCTCAATTCACAATAGCTAAGATGTGGAACCAACCCAAATGCCCATCAACAGTAGACTGGATAAAGAAATTATGGGACATGTACTCTATAGAATACTATACAGCAGTCAAAAACAACGAAACCCGGTCATTTGCAACAAGATGGAGGAATTTGGAAAACATCATGCTGAGTGAATTAAGCCAGTCCCAAAGGGACAAATATCATATGTTCTCCCTGATTGGCGACAACTAACTGAGCACCAAAGGGGAAACTTGTTGAAGTGAAATGGACACTATGAGAAACAGTGACTTGATCAGCTCTTGTCCTGACGGTTGATGTACAATGTAATACTTTACCCATTTTAGTATTTTTTTTTTTTGTTCCAGTACCATTGGTTGAACTCTGTAATTAACACACAATTGTTCTTAGGTGTTTAAATTTTAACTGAAAAGTGATCCCTGTTAGGAATTTGGAAAACATTATGCTGAGTGAAATAAGCCAATCCCAAAGGGACAAATACCACTTGTTCTCCTTGATAGGTGACAACTAACTGAGCACCAAAAAGGAAACCTGTTAAAGTGAAATGAACACTATGAGAAACAGTGACTTGATCAGCCCTCACCCTGACTGTTGATGAACAGCTTAATATGTTATCCCTTTTAGTATTTTTTTTGTTTGTTCTACTTAATACTTTTGGTTGAATACTGTAATCAATACACAATTCTTCTTAAGTGCTGAAACTTAACTGAAAAGTGATCGCTGTAAAATATAAGAGACAGAGATCTTCTATCTTCTGATTCACTCCCCAAATGGCCACAGTGGCCAGGTCTGGGCCAGGCTAATGTCAGGAGCCTGGAACTCCATCTGGATCTCCCACATGGGTGTCAGGCCAAGTAGTTGGGCCATCCTCCATTGCTTTCCCAGGCTCATTAGCAGGGAGTTGAATTGTAAGTGGAGCAGCCAGTACTCCAACTGGCACCCATATGAGATTCTAGCAATGCAGGCAGTAGCTTAATCTATTGTGCCACAATGCCAGCCCCAATTGTTACTATATTCTACAGGGGGAATCCCAAGTTAATTTGCCTCTTTAGGATCTTATTCACTATTGGAATTTTTGTAATTTTCAAGGATAGGCACAAATTAGGGTACACAGATCAGCTTTACAATAGTATTTCCTTAACTCGCAAAAGTGGGTTGTTTTTGACAACTTTCAAGAATGATTGCCTAAATATAGATAATTATTTTCTATTTCAAAGTGTCCTATTTTAAGTTGGTTGTCTTGTTTCTAGTGCAATATAGAATCTAGGGTTTTCTATGGGGTTTTCCCATCAGTAAGGCCTAATTAAGTATGCACTTAGTGACTCCATTTGAAAATAGCACATTACCTCATATACTGTATGATGTTGCTTTAAAGCAATACAGGAAAAAAAAAGCAGTACAGATGTGCAACTAATGGATTATTTTAAAATCACAGGCCTGCCCCTGAACTGAGGGGATAGGAACTAGATGGCTATGAGTTTTCTTTCTGTTCTCCAGGCCATGTGATTATTCCGTATTCAGAAAAGGATACTTGACAAACCGCCTGTCACAGCTGGGTCACCATAAGCACTCATTGGAAGGACAGAGTCATTTTTATCCAGTTGATCTACAGCCATGGTGAATGCATGCTGCTCCAAAATAGCAGTATCTGCTGTGAACAGCATGATATGGGAATCTAAAAATTCCCACTGCCTCTTCCTTGACGCAGCTTAATTGCGGGACTCCTTTTAATTATGTCAACTAGAAACATACCAGAAAACAACCCTGAAAGACAAAAGGTTATTAATGATTTGTTGGAAGGTTTGCTGATCAAATGATTGAGCACAGTTTAAAGAATGTTGTTAACACTTGGAAATCCTTGGTTTACATTTTTTTTTTTTTTAATTTTGAGGGAGAAAGGGGTTGGGGAGATTTTGAGAGCGAGCTAGCTCTCATCCTGCTGGTGTACTCAGATGCCCACCATGGCTCTGGGCTCAGCTAGACCAAAGCTGGGAGCGGGGAACTTATTCTAGGTTTCCCTGTGAGTGGTCAGTCCTCAGTTGCTGCTGCTCTGCTGCCTCCCATGGTCTGCATTAGGAAGTTGGAGTCAGGAGCCAGAGTCAGGGTCAGGCATCAAACCCAGATCCTCTGATATGGGACATACCTGGCTCTTTTTTAATCTCACTTTTCTGCTGATGAGACTAGTAGGCTTGCCATAGCGAAGAAGCTTTCTCAGGGCTAATGAGAGATATATATTGTTTCTGGAATTCCAGAGATAATAACAATCAAAGAAGTATGCATAAAGCAATTGAGATTTCTTCTCCCTGCCTTCAACCCTCAGCAAGAACACTAAGCCATAGAAAGTAATCTAAATGGATAACCATGCCTTAGAAGGGCCAAGGAGGGTATGAAGTCCATGGCCTGACAGAGAAACATAAACCGGGAACTGCAGATCTAATTAATATCCAGCAAGGTGGCCCTAAGCAAATGGTTGGGGAAGCTAGTGTTGCTTTGACTCATGTAAGTGTTTTATTCATTATTGACATGGGATAGTCTAGTTAGTTAAAGCCTTAGAAAGAGGACATATACATTATTTTTGTAATACTAGAGGACTCAAAATTCTTCAGAATTTCTTCCTAATTACCAATGTGAGTTACATCTATTTGAATTTAAAATATCCATTTTGTGAAGAATAGGTGAAATTCAAAGTTTTATATTTAGAAAAGTTA